CATACATAAGAAACCTGACCAATCCCTCTTTCAGGAACAGTTTCTGCCTTTCTGCCCCCTGCCCTGTGCTCCAGTGCCTACCTCACCTGGTTCTCGACTCTGGCTGCCTCCACATTCCCCTTGGCCCACAGGCTAGCAACAATAGCTTTCTCCTCAGCAGTAAATGCACTACGGTGTCTGGGAGCTTTCTGGTGATCACAGATGAGCTAGAAGTAAGTTTATGCTGATTCTTCTTTGCGTGGTCTTTTATTCCTCCTCTCTAGCCGCTAGCTCTTGTTTCTCCCAGTAAAATGAGACTATTGGTCAAAGGTTGGTAGTCACCACCATGGGTGGGGTTTGCACAAAGGATAGTCTAGAAGATGGATATTTGTGTCTCTGATAGTGTTAGGTGGCCCCTTCAGAAGGACTCTACTGTTCATGTTCAATTTGAATCTTCACTTCTTTCTTCTCTTTCCTCTTACACCCCATCCCTCCCGCTCCATCTAGTATCCAATTCATATCTCAAGGTCCCTACCACCACTATCCTGCAATGACATGAAGGCTGATGATGACATATGGATTAGAACTAAAAAGGGTAGGAATTATAAATTTCCTAGGCATTGGGTGAAGATTTGTGACAAATATATTGTTCAGCCAGTCTTTATATCGAGGAAGCCACAGCACTTCTTGGTTCCCAGTTCTTTTAAGATTACATTGGGTGCACAATTTAATACATTTTTGTAATAGTAATAAATATTTCTATCCAACATCAAAAAAAAGCAGGATTAGAAAAACTAAGTAAATTAGGGCAGGCTTGAATGTTACTCCAGTGTTTTTCAGTTCACTTACTTGTCAATGTACTTATTTGAGCAAAAGATATTCCCTCTGAGTCATTGGATAACAGTCTGTGGCATATTCCATGTATCTACCATTTTTTGCCAGAAAAGATAGATGTTTAGGTGTTGGAGGAGAAGGGTGCTCATGTGTTCAATGCAGAGAGCAGTAGAAGATTCCATGGCATGGGCTGAAGCTTAAGGAAGTTGTCTCTGGTGTGTGCTGGATCTACACTCCCTTGCTCTGTTTAACTTTTCCTCATATCTAACTAGCAGAGGCAATCTTCACTGACAGTATTCAACACACTACTGCCCCTGTGACCTAAGGTACTTGGTCTCATGCATCTCAAACAAGCATTTGTGGGACTAAACAGGGCATACTTCCAGTGGAAGTGGGAAGGGTTTATATATTTTTTTCTCTCAGTCTGCTACTTCTGCATTTAGAGCTCCAGAAAGCTGATTTATTTGTTTCTCTCTGAGATAAATCCTTAAAAAAACAACATGTAAGAATCCACCTCCATGTGTACTCACAGGTACTCTAAAATCTAAAGAGCTCACCCCAATACATTATAGCCGAATTTCTGCTATGAGAGAAGTAATTCTCTTGGTCTACTATACTTGATATAGTTGAGAGGGTGTTATCTGTTCTTAGGGAAATGGGAAATATTTAATGTGAAAAAGGGATAAAGATGTGAGGCAAAACCAAGAGGATTTTTTTTTAAGATCAGAAATCAATGAAATGAAGGAAGAGAAGAGGCAACTTCGAGCACAGCCAGGAAGCCCACTGAGACCTTGATAAATTATGATGCCTGAAGTTTTGGAAATCTGGCTTGATTATTTGCCCCTGTAGCCGGACCTGATGATCATAAGAAAAAGCAGATTAAGGAGTTACCTGTGCATTTTATTACAGGATGCCTCTATCTTCAAATTAGTTTATCCTCTAACTTATCAGGTTGCCTGAAATTACAATAATATAGGTGAAATCCTTTCAGTTTTCATAATCTTATGTAAAGCCTATATCTGTTCATTGATGGGGATGAGGAAAAGTGCAGGAGGATGAGATTTGTCAAGATATCAGCTGTTATTTTCTGATTATAGCCATAATAATTTATGACCTCTCAAAACCTAAGGGTACATAGGGTACATTTTTATTGGTATGGAGGTATAGGGCACAGAGCCTGAGGGGAATCCAGGTTAGAGTCTCTTTAAAATAGGAGGTCTGTGAGGTGAGTATATGTAGATCTTTGACCACATTTGATAATCCCGTTGGTTTTGTAGAACCTAGCCTTGGAGAATGACTCAGATGCTCGTTTCTAGGCCTCTGACGTGAGTGAATCTTAATTACTCCTCCTCAGACTAATGGATTCCTATAACCCCTCATGTCTGCAAACAACTTCCTGATTCTTTCAGAAACCTAGAAATTGATCCAATGATCATCTGTAACTCCTACTTCCCTCCTATGCTTTTGAGGCAATATCTTCCAAAGGCTTGTTGATTTCTCCCTGTCCAGAGCTGTTTTATCCTTCCATTTTTTCCTGTGTCATTGCTTCTGACATTACCCAAATCCTCACCTATAAAGCTGTTTCTTTGCAAAAGCCATCTCATTTCTTTCAAACTTCCGTTCTCATGTATTCTCAAACATTCATTCAATAATTATTGTTTAATAACTATGTGTTGTAATCACTCTTAGTACTGGGGATTTAAAGTAAATGAAGCAGAGAAGAAAACTTTCCTCTTAAGATTTATAATTTGGGAGTGGAAGATACAGAATATGAATAAGCAAACATATCAACAAAATAATTTCAGATATTATCATTTGCTATGAAGAAAATTAATATTTAGACTTAATGAGAGGGACGCAATTACATCAGGAAGTGTGTCTCTACAGAGGTAGTATTTGATCTGGTCCAGAATGAAAAGAAAGAATCTGCCATGGGAAGATACTGGGATAGAGTCTGAAAGTTGAACCAGTGAATGAAAATCTCTGAGGGAGGTAAAATAAACCTTTGGTATGCTAGAGATATGAATAATGGGCTAGTGTGGTTGATATGTAAATAGTAAAGGTGAGAATGGCAGGAAATATTGCTGCAAGAGAAAGCATAACCGAGTAACTTAGAACTTATCTTCAGTGGTTGGGAGTGAGAAGCTGTTATAGGATTTTAATTCCGGTAATGACATAACCTCTAAATTCTTTGTACTTTTAGCTAGATTAATATTCCAAGAATATCCTGTTCATCACAACATTATATTGTTCAGGTGGCTTTTATTGCCTATTGACAATAATTAGCCATCATTTCATCCATTAAAGATCTGAGTGATCCAGACCTGCATGTATGCATGTGCGTGTGCATGTGTGTTTGTTAACTATGAAATTGTTTTCAATTAAGTTGTCTCCAACTGGCAAAATCTAGATCTAAATCTAGATCTGTAAAGGATAAAGAACGTTTCTTCTGCCCACCACTCCATCATCATCATCATCCTTGACCCCTTGACATTCAGAGCCATAATAATAGTTGAAGGGCAAGAAAGAGAAAGAGATTGATTGATTAAAGATGGACATTGCTCTCATTTGTTAACTGACTGACTGACTGTCTAGGTAAAAAGTTTTAGTGCCATGAGTTGCCTCTGTTTACCCTGTTTAGGGGCATAATGAGAAGTTATAGGGCTCAGAGATACCAGTGCTGTTGATAGCCTGCAAATATGATAATCATTGGTCTCTCACTCTTATCGTGGAGACATAAAAGCAAATTAAAAGGTAATTCACAGAACAAATTCTGATCAATGTGTGGGGGCAATGAAATGTCTAATAGAGTTAAATTCACCAAGATTTGACACTAACTTATAAAATGTGAAGGTCTCAAGCCTTGATGAGAGAGTTTGACTCAAGGCCTGAAGGTCAAGAATCCCTGAGCAACCTAGCAATAACTTCCTCAAGAATGATTCAGTTATTGTCACTCCTCCACAAGGATCCCCAGGTCAGTGCATGGCCTCTTCCTGTTAGATTCATATGAGCTGGGATCTTTAAACCATCTACCACCACCTCCTTGCTTCTCATCTACCCCAGCCAATCAGATACCATGTCCTTCTAACTCTACCTTTGCTCATCCTTCACCTTTTCCAGACCTCACTGCTCTTCTTGGGTTTAGGCTATTACGTCTGTTCCCCTGAATTAGCATCTACATCTAATCTCTGCAGTTTTGAGTTGACTTTGTGTGCATTAAGCAAATTACTTTCCCCCCAAATCCTATTCCTTGAGTCATATAAGTTCTAAGGATATTTATTGTTTACTGTCGCCAATAGCATAGCAATAGCTTTTATTTTTCTAATCAAGTCCTTGCATTATCAAGTCTTTTTGAACACTCTACCTATATCTTACTCTTTCCTCTACTGGCAGACAGCTATTTTCACTTTCCTCTACTGCCAGACAGCTATTTTCATGCAAGTCACCAAGCTCTAGCTTGCTGGTTTTAGACTATGAGCCTTTGTTAATATCTTATCTGCCATAAGAAGTCTTGGTCATTCTCCCCCCAGAATTCACACAATATCCTAATTCTAATTTTATTTCAGTACATGTTACATTCAATCAGAAGATAATGCACAATGATTTCATATGTCTTAGCCTTGGCTCCCCAGGGAGACAGTGGAACACTTCAGGAAAAAAGCAGTCTATTTTTGTTTCATGGGGACTTTCCAGAAAGCTCCCAGCTATCTCTCAACTTATCCTCTTATCTCCAATTCAATCTCACAAAAGACATGACAAGTTAGCTGATTAAAAATGTACCTTAGAGAAAATTGAAATAGTAACCCTAGCCTAGACCTTGGATCCCTACAAAGCTGTTTTTCTTTCTTATTTTTTTTTAACTGAAGTCTGAAATGCACAAATCTACTTTGTTTTTTCTCAGGCACTACTTAACACCTCCTTCTTTCCCCTCTACAGCAAGTTTTTGCTACACTGCCCTATAAGTCCCTGCCCTCTTAACTAATACTTTGCCCACTCCAGAAAACTTCTTCCCCATCTTGGCATCCTCTCAGACCCTCTGGAATCCTTCCATAATGTCTATTTTCCTTTGAAGAGTCCTCACACACTTCTCAAAGGAGCTCTTGTTTCTTCCTATGTCTCTCCCCAAAACTTAGCCAACAAACGTTTTCTCCTTTAACACAAGAGTAAAAGATGGAGAAGACACAATATTAATTTCTGATTGCTGAATAGAATGTACTTTATTACACGGAAGCTGTGTTCTCAAGGCCAAACTCCAGTCTCCATGTGCAGAAGGAGGGGAAACAAAAGGGCGCTGGTGACCTGGAAAGAGGACTCAGTGGTACTTGTGGGCCAGAGCGTTGGCAACCCCAGCGACCAGCTTCTGCCAAGCAGCCTGCACATCAGGGGTGAATTCCTTGCCAAAATGAGAAGCCAGGATAATCACCAGCACGTTGCCCAGGAGCTGTTGGGTGAAAGACAAAATTACAAATAGGCGTGCTGAATAGGCGTTTCCAAAAAGAATTGCGGATAAAGTGGCCTAATACCTCCACTCCCTGCCAACTCTGCACCTTAAACTGCTCCAAAGGTTGTGCCTGCCCAATAAACCCAGATACTCTAGACCCTAAATTCCATTTAATTTTTATGAGCCTTCCATTCAACATTCTGCCTATCTATATCTCCATCTTCTCTTCCATTTCACCATTTTTATTTGCTTGTCTCCCTTCCTGTCTCATTTACCAATTGTCTAATTCCTGTAATCATAGGATTTCAGAGCTGCACAGGTTCTGAGAGTGAGTTTAAAGTCTCTAGCTAACACAGGAACAAGCGTCCGCTTGGTCGCAATACTGATAGGTAATTTAGTACATTTTAGAGAAGTTGTATTTTTCTCTGAGACAATCTACCTAAAAGTCTTTTCCCCAAATCTCTTCCTAAACTTCAATCATCAGGAACCACATAAAATAAGAAATTTCTGTTTCCTTACATAGGCCTTCATCTATCAAAAGTCAAATTCCATTATTCCTTGAACTAGTCTGCTATTCTCTGATATTCTCTAGGATAAACACATTCAATTCCGACGAAAGTTCCTGAAACGTTTTAAGCAAATTCAGGTTGCTAGTAACCCTTTACTGTCACTAGTCCTGAATCTACGTGGTCTTGATTATGCCCACTGGAGTTCTGCCTTTCTAATACCAAATTAGAGCCATATTTTCTGACATCTTTGTTTCCAGTAAAAGACTCAACTTCCATTACTATCACAAGGTAAAAAGAAAAAAGAGCACAAGAGCATTTCTGGAACTCACTCTGAAGTTCTCAGGATCCACGTGCAGCTTGTCACAATGTAGCTCACTCAGCTTAGCAAAGGTGCCCTTGAGGTTGTCCATGTTCTTAATAGCATCTCCAAAAGAGGTCAGCACCTTCTTGCCATGGGCCTTGACTTTGGGGTTGCCCATTATGGCGGAGGAAGAGGACAGGTTGCCAAAGGTGTCAAAAAACCTCTGGGTCCAGGGGTAGACGACCAAGAGCCTATGAGATGGGACCATAGCAGAAGGAAAATTAGAGACTTTCAAAAATCTTACGGGCTTTCCTGGTCATTTGCCAGATTCATATTCACTATCTTCTCTCACGCGTTGAAACCCAGTTCCTACCTGCCAAGGGCCTCGCCTCCAGCATCTTCCACATTCACTTTGCCCCACATGCTAGTGATGACAGCCTTCTCCTCACCAGTAAAATGCACCATGATGTCAGGTCTGGGAGCTTGCAGATGATCACAGAGGTGTCAGAAGCAGGTATGTGCTGCTGCTGGAATGTGTGGCCTTTTATTGTTTTCTGCTGAACTTCTGGCCCCTTGTTCCCCCCAGTACTTTGAAGTCATTGGTCAAGGCTGACATGTGTCCCTCAGGGGTGGAGCCAGGTCAGGAAAGGGTCAGCAATGAAGGGTGTGCTCTGAGTTTGTGATAATGTGTGCTGGTTCCTGAGACATCCTTCTTTTGTTAGCTCCTCTATCTTCAATACAATTTTCCATTCATTCCCCTTTTTCACCCTCTTCTCTCCCCATGTCATTCTCCAGTATGACATCCATCTCTCCCATTCTCCTTCTTCAAGAAAGACCCTTAGAGAGGGGCTAAGCCCAAGATACGGAAAGAGTTTCAGTCAAAACAGCTTTAATAGTTGGGTTAAAAATGGTGACAGGGACAAGAATAGGGTCAAGAAAAAAAAATACAATTGTTGACACAGAATATCAGCCAGTTATAGCTCTCTTGAGGAGTGGATTATAACCAAGCCCCTAGAAATTATTTTTCCAGGGGAGGTAAAACACATACATAGTTACTTCAGGCAGCTGAACAGAGTAGCAAGGATTCACAATAGGACTAAGACCTCAATTCCAAAGTACAATACCCAAGGGCAGTTTCATAGATAAGACAGACAGAATAAGCTTACATCCTGTGCTTCCAGGAAACCCTCTCTCTGTCCATTTCTCAGTGACTACCGGGAAAAGCAGCTACTTTGGGAACATTACCCTGAATACTCTTCTTGATTTTCTGTCCTTCTCACACTTCTTTACACCAGTGAGACTGCTGAGGAATCTGAAATTATTTAAAACCAGGACTTGTGATCAAAATGAGGAATAAACATGTTAATCAGGCTGGATATTGGAGTATGTTTAATGTTTGCCGTAGTCAGTAAGTACCAGAGGCTTCAAATTCCTCTGGTGCCCTTGTTTTTTGATGCCTCTGTTGTCTTTGGGCTTCCCTAAAAACTCATCATGAAATAGAGTCTGCACTGAAAAAGTTGCAACCCACGGTTATTGTACTGGAGTCCTCTTGATATAGTGGTAAGGAATTGTGGAGGAATAGCATTCTATAATTGCACAATTAAATCGCTGACTTTAGTGGATCGGTGTTCCTGGGCTGTCATCTTCGTAAGTGTTTCTTAGCTTTTTCTCCCTTAAGAAAGACAGGAAAGACTCCCTGGACTAGACTATATAGCGTAGGGTGACAGGATTCTAGGTCAAGAGAGAAGATATTTGATCACTGAAGTAGAAGATCAATGAATGGACAAGAAACAGCCGGCTACTCAGTGAAGAATAGCCCTTAGGTGGATAAGAGTTATTTATTCAATAGAGATAGGGCTCTAGATTTCCAAGGCAAATTTTCTGTAAATCCACAGTGTACGGACAGTGACCTTTTCTTTAGACCTTTGGTATGAGGATCAGATGTTACCAAAGCCCAGAGAATAAAAAACAGGCCTCTCAAGACCAAGAGTTTGGGAAAAAAGCCTCTCCCTGAAGCAGACACTATGAGCATGTCCCATTCTCCTTCCAATTCAGTGTGGACACTAGTCTTCTCTTAGATTCAGAGTATAGGGTTGATCTTCTTCCCCCTCCCTCACACTCACTGCAAGGCCCATATCTCTTCCTCTAGTAAGGGTCTTTGGGAACAGAGTTGGCTTGCCTCCAGGGATCCAGCCCATCCACTGCTTTCTTATTACTACAGGTTTTGGGAAAGAATTTCATGAAAGTTTACAGGCTTGGAAGGCAGGATGTCTGTAGTTCAGTACAAGGCTTATGACTTCTGATTCTGAAGTCAGATAGGCTGAGTATGGTCACATTATTGCTTAGGTGCTTGTTGATTTAAGCTAAATTATCTCAGCTACACATTTTGAAGTATTTTATTTATTTCTCTTATGAAATACCATGATTATTGCCTCCTTTTCCTGAATGAAAACCTGAAGTTTAGAGAGAGAAGAGACATGGTTATCCAGACTAGATCAGAAAAAGTAAATGGTCGGAAAAAATAAACAGTAAGAATGTTCATTTATTGCCTATAAAATTAAAAATTAATAAAATAAAAAAATCTTAAGGTATTTAAATAAAAAAGAAGTCTTAAAAAGAAACTCTAAGACTTGATAAAGATGAATTCCTGCCTCAGAGTATCCTGTAGCATTTGTACATTTGTAAGTTCTGTGCAGAATTTTAAGAAATGTAAGATGCTTCTTTTCAGCAAGAAAAAATCAAATATTTTATTAAATCTTGCTAGCTAATTTATGACATGTATACTAATCCTATGAGTCAAATATTATATTATCTTTAGGTACTATTAGTACGGAGAATTATGTAAATTACATTGTTGATATGTAAAATAGGCCTTTGACCTCACTACATGTTTTTCATAGTATTATCCGAGAAAAACTACTTCAAAAGTTATTCTTCATCACAAATGAATTATTTGTTTTTAATTTTAAAATTGAAAAATTATAAACAGGGGTTATAAACCACTGAAGGTACAAAAACCTGCTTAGGGCTCTTGATTAGAGGCTATAAGTGTGCCTGCTTCCATTATCCACCTGAATTTACATTCTCACAACAGAAATAGATTGGATCAAAGGGTCTGTTATGTGTTGCATTAGCCTAGAATACATTGGGTACCATGAGTAGCAGGAAATTCTTGTGGCTGCCGTGTAGGAAGCCAATGAACATTTTCTGGTATAATTTCGAAGAATGCGAGAATAGGCCACAACCAGCAGTCAGGCAACACTACTGCTTTCTATACACTATGCCTCTGAGTCACCTCTCACAAAGGTTGTAGGTAATCTGAACCAGAGCTGGGTCTCATTCTCAGAGTGACTTCTTTCAGTTGGCAGCTTGCAGCAGGGACTTTGACGGCTTGACTGACATCTGGAACCACTGTGCTTAAGGCATAGCCAGAGATATGTGTGAATGTTAATTAAGCAAGAGGAATCTTTTTGGGAAGAGGAAATGGAAAGCCAGAAACAGCCAGTTAGTTTCTATATGATGGACCTTCAATCTGGAAACTTAGAAAAGTCATATGTTTTCCATTTTCCCATGAAATGTAGCTTTACTTTCTTGGTTTACTTGATAATTTTTGACCTTAAGTAAAGTTGCCTTCATTTATTTTCATGATTAAAATTCTAGGAAATTCTTATTTTTTGTGTTTATTTTAAATAGTATTGCCTTATGTATTCTATGAACTAAGAACAACATAGAAAAAAACCACTCTGGACTAGTCAGAAGGAACGACACTATTATTAGAACCAGTGCTTTATAATCTCCCATCCCTTCAGTTTACTGCACTACCATAGGTCATTGGTCCATAACACATGGCTCGTACCCAGACCCAAGTCAAGGAGTAATTTATAAACTTTGTTCACTCTAAAGCATACATAAACTCAATATTTAAATTTCTATCTAGGGTTGATTCAAATGGGACTCTCATAGGTGTAGGGCTTAGAATTTTGCATCCAGAAATGATGGAAAAGATCCAATTCTATGCTAAGTTTCCATCTCTGCTGCTGGAAATTTGGGAAGTCCTTGACTTGGTGACTTTTGAATTCTAAAAGGAAGTTAATGATTATTTTTTTACCTACGCATGCAATCTTCAGTACTTTGGGTATTCAGTACCGAAGCTATAGCATGGCATGTTTCCTGAATGAAAAAATTGCCTCTCTCTGGAAAAGGATAAATTTGAGATTTGGTTAGTAAGCAGGGCTTACATGGAAGCAGTAATGATTCTGGTTAGACTTCATCCATTAACAAGATCATCCACCATGAGGAATTATGAGAAACTAGGACCCTTTGTTTTGTATGACCTAGTGGGGGCAGTTTAGGGGTAGCTCACAACTGCTCCTCCCCCGAACTCCTTTTAGCCCTTGCTAATTCTAGCCCCAGAAATGTTCTTTCTGAAACCAAATTCCCACAACGCCTATCTTATTGAATCTGAGGTATCTGTGAGGGAATGGAATGCCTCTTAGGCTCCTGACCGAGAAGCTAAAGTAGCTCTTCTTTGTACTCTAGCCTCGTTCAGGCCCTAATGTCACCAGTCTTTTCCTGGGTCTGTTTTTGTTTTCTTCTTCCTCCTCTTCTCCTCCTTCTCCTTCTCCTTCTCCTTCTCCTTCTCCTTCTATTCCTCCTCCTCCTCCTCCTTCTCCTCCTACTCCCCCTCCCCCTCCTCATTCCCCTCTCCATCCTGCTCCCCATTCCCCTCCCTCTCCTCCTCCCCATCCCCATCCCTATCGCCCCCGCGCCTTCTTATTCTTCTTTTTCATTTGCTTATTCATTTGTTCTCTGGGGTTTTGGGGTCATTTATTTTATTTTGTTTTTAATCAATAGAAGCAGGCAGATCCAGTGTTTTTCTCATTCTGGGGACTTGGGTTGGTGATAGCTGGGTGGGGTGAGAAACTGTGGGCATAGATAACAGCTCAGGACTACACAGAGCTATGGCAAGGGAGAGGACAAACTAAAGACAGTGAGAGCCAGAGCACTTCTCTTACTGCCTTCAAAGACCCCATTCTTGTTCTTGGTTCCAACACAAGTAGATAAATGGAAGAGACTGTGGGTTAGTGCTTGAGAGTCCTGCATGGACAACTGCTCAGAAATGCCTGATAAATACGCTCTGTGTAATATATATATATATACACACATATGTGTGTGAGTGTGGTTACAAACATGTGAGTATTGTCAAAATATGAAGGCTACAGTGACTAGATAACATTAAAAGCCTAAGAAGCCAGGGGAATAAATTGCATTCTCTAACTTCAACTGAGATTAAAAATAAATGTAGTGATAAAAAAGAGAGATTCAAAATCACTTGAAAGAGACAGAATGACTACCAGATCAGAAGCTCTTAACTATAATCTTATGGAATGTTCTGATGTATAAAAAGAAATGTGCTAATCACTAGATAGTTGGCCAACAAGGAAAGTGTAGAAAAAGGAAGGTCGCTTTCTTGGTTTAGAGTCCAGAGAAGTTTTGAACCTCATATAACATTTATGTCCAGGCCAAGTCTATCCTTCTCATG